TGAAACGACGTCATTGGGTTTCAAATGCCATCTTTTAGTAATGTGGCACACCTCATTCTTCAGAGATTTTGTGTACTCATCTTTTTTATTTTTCTCATTTTTGTACTTTCTTGGCTTCAAAATTTTTCTCATTTTTTACTTTCTTGGCTATTTTCTTTCTTTCTCCTTTTGAAATTTCTTTTCCAGATCTTCCTTATTCTTTTCTACCTTTTCTTTTTCTTCTTCTTCGTTTTCGTTTCCTATTGATTTAGAAGAGGGTGCAAGAAAATTATGTAGCAAAGGTAGGTTTAATATATTTTCTTATGTAGCTCGGGTATTTATTTTTCTTAGTTTCAAGAAAAGAATTTATATTCTTTTGAGGCTCAATCATGGTTGACTAAGGATATAATTTTGTAAAAAAAATGGTCAAGGCTCAAGATTTACTCATAAATGGCCTAAGATCATTTTCCAGAAATCATGCATTGATATAATATTTAAATGAAAGTCTGAGGAAGATGCTAACAATATACTTTAATTAGTGTTAATCAAATGAAAATAATGAGATTATTCAAAGAAAGTTTACCGTTGAATTGAAGATTCGTATTTGAGTAGATGTAGAATATTTCTTCAAGAAAGATTGGTTCAAAATCTTCAATATGTTTTACATCTCCACTATGTATGTAAAGACTATAATATTTCACAAGTTTTTTAATAATAAAGAAATCTACTTGTGCTTAAAAGAATAAGTTTAACAAAAATATTAAGACAATGCACAATTAAAATATGAAAATCCCGCGTGATCAGAAAAAAATTATTCTTACAATGCATAGGAATATTTAACCTAATTTAACTGTGAATTATCTGAACTAGTCCTCCTAATTTAACAACATAAGTTCCTGTTCTAACAAAAACAAATTTAAACACAAAATAGTTCAAAAACAAACAAGTTCAAACCATATATAAGTCTAAGACAAATAAGTTTAAAACAAACAAGTGAAAAAAACAACTAGGTTTAAAACAAACAAGTGGAAAAACTAAATTCAAGTTCAAATGCATAAAGTGAAATTGCATAATTTAAAAATTTGAGTGAAGAAAGCAAAGATATTGAGTAGAATCTCCAGTTTCCTGTTTTTGTGTAGCCATTACCTGAATCACACAAATGGATTTAGTACCATGTCATGTATTCAAATTTATTCAGAAACACAAGTCGAACTGGATTCAAACACTTACCTTCATCTCAGAAATAATCTCAATCAACTGGTTTCTTGACATTTTGGCCAGATGAAGAGTCAACAGATCGGTGCCCAAAACCCCCTGACCCTGTTGCCCACTTTGATTGGAGTTGATCCCAATCTGAGGACCTCCAAGAGCTCCCGCCATGAGCGATGCAGCAGCCATAGCTACTGATAGACCTATTGGCTGCTTAAGACCAGCATCCCCAAGGATTGCTGGGCCTCCAAATTGTTTTTTAGGGTCTGAATTATCCATTAACAAAATGTTTTTAGGATTTATTCATATGAAAGAAATTGTAAACAAATTCGATGTGCCATAAGTAAAGAGTAAAACAAAACTAACCAATACTTGCGACCATTCCAGGTCCACCACGGCCCTGCAAAGAAACACAATCTGCATTAGGATCATGGTAATACTCAACTTTTCACACCCCAAATAGAGCTCAGGAAAAATGAGAAAGCGCCCAAACCAATTGGCATGGCGAAGAAAATTGTTTAGCTTTATGCTTAGCTCCCACCATCAATCCAACAAGAATCAACATGTTTTTGCTGGAATTCTAAATTATTAGAGACTACATTATGGGTTGCTATGCTAACCCCTATTTTTACCTCAATAATCACCCTAACAGCTTAAAAACTATGCAACAAGAATGTCACCAATAGGTTTTCCATTTAAGTGATATAGACAAGAAGAACCCACATTTTATGCCAATAAAGAAGTAGGACCTTTCAAAAGGATCCTTTTTTGGGCTTTATTTTGAAGTGTAGTTTTTCATTCTATTTTCAACTATATATATATATATATATATATAGTGGAGCAGAAGAATATCCCTCCCCAACTAGGCGACTACGTTTTTTTGTTTGAAATTCCATGTCTGGTCTTCTGGTATTTGCTTTTGCTCACCCACTATGTTTTTTTCTTTTGAGTTCTTTCCCCACCCGATTGAGCTGTCTGAGGTCGATGGTGCATCCAGTAAGCTCTTTCGGTATTCATCTCCAGAGCCCGGTCAAATGCTTCAATCCTTCATTCATATTTTGTCTCAATATCTTTTTTCATGTCTATTTTGCAAGTTTACAGCTTGAATGTTTTACTAGTCTTCCTCTCCCATGTGATAAATGAGCAGTCTCCCCTAGACCTTCTTCTATCTAAGCTCTCATAGTATTCATCTTTCTTCCTTCTCTCTTCTCTGCTGCACATCTGTATTCTTTCCCTCGCTTTATAGAGATCTTGGCGTGGCATGCAAGCCTCAAAACTAAAGAGGGAGAATGCAGAACCATGTTTCACATTTTATAAATGCTTGATACAAATCTCATAAAACTTATATTTTGCTACATTTGTTTCTATAACTATTCCTCTGCCCCTAATTAAGTGCCTCCAAATATCCATTCAGGATTTGCCTAAAATATATCCCAATTGGCAAGTCAAAGCTATTTACACCTACTTTTCAAATTATAACCAAATATATGAAAAGATTTGCCACCATTACCACTTAGGCAAATGTAGCAACTAAAAAATTTATTACTAAAGTCGATGCATTCAAATTTTCATAAAACTACATGCCAAGTAAAGGAGGATAATAGTATAGGGGCGGAGGAGGGAGTTAGGAACATATCATCTTCATAAGAAATAACAATAGTAATCGTTGTAATCATAAACTAGATCACATACTGTGGGAGCGCGAGAATGGAATAATTCAAACAAATCTTAGAACGGAAACACCTTAAGAACGTCATAATATATACATAAATACATAGATGATCCTTGATTGATACTCTTAACCATGTGAATTGTTTAATGAAATAGTATCCAATTTTTTGTTCATTATTTCACTCAATTTTATCATAAAAAATACAATGAAATATTAGAGAAATATTACACTG